AAACACTTTCAACTTTTACTTTTAGCTCCCTCACATCACAGAAACGTCCTTCATCTGTGAAACATCCCAAGCTAGCCAGGAGCTGACAAAGTCTGATCTTAGCTACTACAGAGCAGAATTTCAGGGCCCTCATGCTCTCATATTTCATATTTATGTATCTTTCTTGATTGAGGTTGATGAACTCTGCAGATTCCACAGAAAGAACCACAGATTCTGTGAGACTCATCAGGCTCCAGCCTGCTTCACTGGGATAAAATGTAAGGGCTTAAGTTGCTCATCCCTGTCGGTGGCCATTACACCTCCGAAAATCCCACTCACCAAGGGACCACAGTAATTCCTTGATCATCATGTGTGATCGAGATCTCCCTTTGACCACTGATCCTTTGTCCCCCATCGATCGATCTCACTCCATGTCCACAGGATTGTTACATTTGAGATCTGATACAAGTTTCTGATTAGGGTGGGTCCATTTGGTGCTATTTTGTTAAAAGGTAGTCATGGTTTAGAATCATTATTCGAGTTCATCATGTTAGGGCTGACCATGGATGGACACCAACAATAATCATTGAAGTAACCCTGCCGCTACATCCTTCAAACCCTAAGTCTTTAATTTGTTTTCTGTACCTACTCGGTGTTGCTTGTGAGATTGCTGATGCATACATAATTGAATTAAATATTCAGTTCTTGACTTTACCAAATGAATATACTCTCTAGCTGATTATAATTTAAAAATTATTTGCTTTTCATTATTTAAACCTGATTTTTCATCTTGAATTTAAAAAAAAAAACAAAAAAAAAACTATAATCCGTAACTTCTAGTTTATTTATAATGCATGAAACTTTTAATTTTAAAAGTATTTTTTATTTTAAAATATATTAAAATAATTTTTTTAAATTTTAAATTTTTTATTTTTAATATTATCACATTAAAATTATCAAACAACACTTAAAATACATCAATTAATTATTAAAAAAAACACTTTAAAAACACATCTAAAAATAAAAACTACACACCACAAACTCTCCCTGACCTCTTTTTTAAAACCACAGCGGCATCAAAAGTTACGAAATGCCAAACACAGACTAATAAGTCACCATCCCATTTCCTAGATGGTGGCCAGCATGCAGGAAGAAGAGATCATTATATAAGACAAACAATACACAAAGACTTCTTATACTCTAATCATTTCTGCTGTTCTCCCCTTTTTTCTGATCTTTTTTTTTTTTCGGAGCAGCTTGTGCATGAAATTGATGCTTGGACCTTGATGAGACGCTGCGGGCCAAGACCAAAGCAATTAGATAGAAGAGACTTAGACATGCGTGTAACGTATCAACCTCTTGAAGGCGACTTCTCACTTCTTTCGAGGCTTCCCCTTCTCCATCAATTAATAATAATTCAGCACCTTCATCATAGATGTTGTTTCCCTTTCTCAAACTTGTATGCAACCATCCTTCCTTCTGATCTCTTCCACTTCGAACTTAGTTGTAACATTAATGAAACACAAGCCTATTAAGATCCCAAGGCTTTGCTTCTTCTGAGTTCTGACATACCATTCTTGAACTAGAAAATTAAGCTTTCTTCTTCAAATGGGGAGGCAATCTTGCGGTTACAAGCAGAAACTAAGAAAAGGGTTGTGGTCCCCGGACGAAGATGAGAAGCTTTCGAGGTACATTACTGAGCATGGACATGGATGCTGGAGCTCTGTCCCCAAGCTAGCAGGTGACACTTCCTGTCTCTCTAGGGAGGCCCCTGCCAAACAACACCGAGATGTTATTTAATTTGCTTCTAACAAGTTTTTGTTTATTTTCTAATGTGATCATGAATTTTCAGGTCTTGAAAGGTGCGGAAAGAGTTGCAGGTTGAGGTGGATCAATTACTTAAGACCAGATTTGAAGAGAACCAGATTCTCATGCCAGGAAGAGAACCTCGTAATCCAACTTCAGTCAGTTCTAGGCAACAGGTGCCAATAATTTAGTGCCTTCTTCCTTGTATTAAACTAACGGTATTCAGGTCAGATCAATAATAACGGTGCTCATAGAACTGTAATGCATTCCTATCCTATCAGGTGGTCTCGAATTGCAGCACAGTTACCAGGAAGAACGGACAATGAGATAAAGAATCTATGGAACTCTTCCATTAAAAAGAAACTCATGCAGAAAGGTATTGACACCAACACCCACAAGCCACTTTCTGAGGTTAAGCTTTCTACCAGCAAGTGCACTGAGAAGGCCTCAAGAGAACTGGATGCAGCGATCTCACTCAATCTCAAGGCAGAAAGTTCAAAGCCATCACTCATTGATGTATCGAGCTGTAAGATTGAAAAAGGAGATGACAATTTGAATGCCTCCAAAACCAGTGCCCACCAGGAATTCTTCCCAGACAAGTCTTTGCCATTCAATCGATACACCAACATCCAGCACAGCACTTTAGATTCAATTGCTTACCTGCAATTCCCAGTCCAGCAGTTGAGTCATGAGCAATTGAAGCTTGACCAGAAGTGCAGTCTTTTTGAGCCAAACCAAGAACTAAACTCCAGAACACCAGTACCTACGATTTCAAGGTCAATCATATCTGCTCAAATGGACAATAAAATCTATGCGGGTCTTCCCTTTCATTCAAAGGGCACATTCAATAACATCCATTGGGATTCAAGTAATTGCAGCAGCGAAAGTAGTGAGTTTCAGAAAAAGTCCTTATTCGATAGCAACATCCTTCCATGGGGGTTGGCAGATGATGGTGGATCATCAGACAAGACCTTACAACTCCATTCCGCTGATGCTGAGACAACAGATATCAAGTGATCGGAATATCACAACACATCATTTCTAGCCGAACACAATCAACCCACACTACACTCGTGATGCACCAAATCAACGTCAAACCACCAGAAATATCGAATAGATGGAGATGGCTCAAACGCAAATTGGCATCACTGGTGGTATTAATAACAATTATTTGCGAAGCTCGGTATACACGTGGTTACGTTGTAATGACTTGTGGGATAATCTAGGGATTAATCAGCTCTTAAAATTTATTATGCAAACATTTGATGGCACAGATGAAGAGGACTTCCATTTTAGAAAGACCTTAGCTGTGATTTCAGAGTGTTTGTTGCAAGATATTTTACTGTATTTCTGTATGTCAAAATGGCAGAATCAAAATGCTAATCCTTGGTTCTTGGTTGGCAGAACTTGCAGATTGAATCTCTTTCTTTCGTTCTTTCTTTCCTTTTATTTTGGAATTTAAGCTAAAAAGTCACAAAAGATACTTTCTTCTTCTCATCGTCTTTCTCTCTAACGCCTACTTCTATGATGATGATTGGGGGGGAACAGCGGACTCCAACCTTGGCAAGCAATTTCCAGGAGTCCAGCAAGGCACCATCTCAGATTGGTGCCATGCATGATCTGTTAAAGAGTAAAAATTTTACCTCTTCTGTATGGAGCAGATTGAGTAGTAGTGCACAAGACTTTCAAATTTCTAAGATGCCAACATGCCTAGAAACCAGGTTACTACTCTAACCACTCTTATCTATCTTTTGAATCTACAAAAGGCAAAGAAAAGAGGATTTGACAACCACAAAACAGCTTAATGACATAGTGTCCGATTTGCATAATCACCGGAGAATAACTCAACCAGTTGTGGTTAATAATTATACATAAGCACCGATTGAGTGTTTCCTCCATAATCATGTTAGTGATCAACTCTATGCCTAGTGCAAGGTAGATTCAAGCACAAATGCCAGCACATTTAACCATTGTGACAGGCAAAGTCCATTTCCAAGCAAGGAATATGCATAGGGTTTTCTTTCAATTTTCCTGCTCATCAGCAACATCAGTAATGGTGACAATATGTTGGCTACCCCGCAACCTTTGAAATCTTGTCATATTTTCTCTAGAAGTTAGAAGAAAAAAATCATAAACTGTTCTAAGCTGTGCATTCAAATATGAGGGAGAAATGTGAAGTATATGATAACTTCTATACCTTGACAATATATTTGAATGGGTCTTGATGCTAAATAGAAGTGGAGAAACGATTTAGAGGAAACCTCTGATGTATAGCTGTAAATTGATAGCATTAATTGAACTTCCTTCCTCTTCTTATTTCCCCCCATTTCTCCTCGAGGAAGACAGCTTTTTGTGGTCATCACTCTTGAGCAATTCAAATGGGGTAGTGATGACATCCAAAAAAATCTAATATTATGTTATTTGATGTTTGGATAATAATTAATTAAATCTTTAAGTCATTATTATTTTCTCTTAGCCTAGGAAGTAAAAAATTGATGATAAAAGTCCTCGTTACGGTAAAAACAATCCATATTCATGAGACTTGAATAATAATATCGGAATGTTAATAACATGAAAGGAAGAACTTTTTTGTGTGTGTGATTAATGCTATAAGATATATAAATTTTTAGAGTAAAAAAACTAAATTTAAATATTTATATTCTTTGAATCTTATCATGAGATATAAAAATTATTTACATGAAAAACTAATATCTTTTATGTATTATTAATGAGATATCAATATAGTATACATATAAAAAAATAATTATTTTAAACATAAATATATTATGTTAATGGTCTTAAAATAGCTTCTTAAACCCTATATAAATCTCCAAGACCAGCTGAATTTGGCTTGAAGCCAAATTCAGTTGATATAAGTCTAACAAATTATCTGATCTATGATAATTTGAGCTAGCTCAATAGTATATTGGATCCAATAATTTAACAGCTTCATAGTTAAGTCTAGCATTATATTAAGTTTATAATTTTTTGGATTCTAACTTATAGATGAACCCAAATATATTATAGCTAAATCTAAATCTAAATATATTAAATTTGATATTTTACCATACTCATAATTTCTTGAATTCACAGCTAAATTCAAGTATAACAAACATATTGGCAAATTCATGTTTAATTATGTAATGATCATCATATCACAGATTTGGGCTATTTAAAAGCACAAAAATATTGAGTTAGAAATACAGAACCATCAGTATAATAACTTTGCCGATGATCATCCTGGTGGCCGTCTTTATCAAATGACTAAGCAGAATTCTTATGATGCCATGAGAAATTATGATCAACGTACTTCTAATCATTATTATTTTGTGATTGACAATTGAACTCCTAATGCCTAGAAGTTGTCTGAATCAAAACTAGCTAGTTTCAGCAGGCAGCTGTCTCCCCAAGTTTCCTTAACAACCAAAAGTGTAGTAGATCCTTCAGCATGTTCCCATGCATGAATCTCACAGCTTATAAATTCTACGTTGCCATTTACAACTTTCATGACCCTTCAACTCAGTGAAGATGTAAGAGAAAAAACGAAAAAGGCAACCGAGTCTTGATGACCATCACTTGAACTGCTTAACGAGATTTTATTTTCTTCAAAGTTCAATGACACATATCGTAGCTTTATAACTAGAAAATCACTTGAACACCAGGTGGTGGCAGGTATTGTCACAAGGGTACGGACAGTCAATAGCCATGCTAACAGCACGATCAAAATACCAGTTGCCAACAGACTCCGCTATCCCCTGTAATTTGATCACCAATTGCATTACAGAGAGCCCGCCTCAGTTGTCTATAATTAAAACTCTCAAAAGAAAAGGAACTGCAGTTTTTTGAAAATTATGCTGGTAATAATTTTGTGCTCAGTGGCATTAAGGCAATACAAAGGCATTGGTTAGTGGTGTTCTTCCTTTGATTGTTTCTTACTCGGACACAAGCGAAGAGGTTGCATGTTATCTAAGAATTTGATGGCAGGGATTCACACTGATGGGGCTGTTCAAAATGGAGTATTTAACAAATGACTTTAAGCACATACTATGTAAAGCAGTGATGTGGTATTAACTTCAGAGAATAACAAGTTAGGTTGGAATGGCCTTGCCTTGCTTTTAATGTGGGGAGAACCTGGAGAAAACCATGTGTCCTGTCTCTCTGTCTGGCAATGAGCAAAACATGAATTTATAAAGAATCCGTTTTTCTTCAACCTTGAGAAGCCTCTTACAGCATAGAGCATTTGATTTCTGAAACCTGATTGAGGTGAAACAAGTGTGGTGGTGAGTTACCATAGAAGTTATCATCAAAACACTGCATCGACAAAAAAAGTGATATCATGAAACTATCATTTCTAGGAACAGTAATAAATCACCTTGAAGAAAACTAATTTGTGATCCAGTGCAGCGTGCATAGTTTTTTCTGCATCCGTTCCAGTATCCATGATGATCAGCTGAGGCAGGAGCTAAACTGACCTGGATCTGTTTGAAGGGAAAGCAAGCGCGAACAAATCATTGTTATTTTGTGTCATCAAACACTCTCTGTAAATAGTAGAACGTATTCGTGTGAAGCATGAAATCTCATATGGATTTAGTACGAATGCAAGTGACCTGACTGTATCTGTATGAACGATTCAGTGCATACACTGCTGCCGTAAATGGTGTTGGTATTAACATGTCGTGACACCCTTGCGCATGCGTCACACATGAGGCAGATAGGAATGACAGAAACTTCCTCAGATAGTAAATTCGTTTATATTTCATTAACTAGTTTAAATTTTAGAGCAGTACAGACACAACGCATACCTGCCATGTATCATAAGCTGTATTGACAAGAAAAAGTGGAGTCCTGACGCTAGCAATTGATCGCTGAGGGAAAAAGCACTGAGCGAAGAAGATTCATGAATAATATCAGAGGAAAAATAAAATGGCAAGCAACATATGTGCTGCAGGAAAAAGATTACCATGATTGGATTGAAGCGCTTAGTACAACCCTGGGGCAGGTTCTTTTGCATCCCCTGCAATAGATTACACATGTAGTTTTTCTAAATCAGTTTTACCCTCAAGAATCAAGATCATGACAAATGAACAAATACAAAGAGAAAATTATTCAGATGACTAAAAAAACAGTGCTAACGTGATGTATGGAACAGTGTTCAATGGAAATACATGATTCTGCCGTTGTCAACCGACTTCAAAAATTAAGGAGGTAGCAAAGAAATCCACCCCAAGAAGCATGATCTTTATACATAAAGCTCAAAGGAGACGGTAAAGATAATGTAGAAATGCAATAAAGCAAACGTAGATGGCAAAGTGAAGATGGATTGGATGAAGAAGCATCATTCCAGCATTAACCTGAACGATAGAGAATTGCTTCGGACCAAGTCCAGACAAACTGAGATTGAGTAATTGATTCACTAGATGTTAGGATCAACTAAATAGCTAATTTTTTTAAGATTAAAAAGATCATTATGGAGTATGACAAAAGTTAAATATCAATAGACAAGATGATAGGAATAGAATCATCAATTAATGACTTTCTGCAGGAATAATGATTTCCATCTGGGCCAACAAGAGCTATGCCAAAATATTTTCTTGTTGAGTAATTCGTTGTTCTTGATATACCCATACGTAGCTATGAATCCTCAGGATTCGCAGCACTGAGCCACTGTAATGGAAAATATGAAGGAAAGTCTAGGTACCTGCAGCATGACCACTCCTGCAAACATATATCTTAACGTGCGCCAACCAGAGATGTCAGGTCTGCATACGGGAGACAACTGCAGTTTAGCCATACTAATTGGAAACACAATGAGGAGTGAAAATGCAAGGATCTCGATGTCTTTACACGTCAAGGAATAAACCAGCATCACTGAGGCACTTGACTCTAGCAGTTCTTGGAAATAAATGCCGGAATTCGTCGCAATGTATTATAGCTGCTAAACCCCCAGCTGAACATCCAGACAGAAGAGCCTGCAAAACAAAAAAGAGGGGAAAAAAAAACCTACAAATAAATAAAACTAAAACAGTGGGTAAAAGTTGTATGGCAGGTTTGAGGGACCTGATTAGCATAGCGCATTCCTTTCGACATCAAATCTTCCATGACAACTGACCAGATTCTTTGTCCTCTAAAATAGAGTTGTGCTGCCTGTGGAGCAAGGATGAAGTCGTTATTCACTCAGCCAGAGGCCTGGTAAATTTCATTCAATCTTCCATTACAAAACAAATATACTTCAATTGGAGAATACAGCTCAAGTCCAGCGGCTTAGTGAGCAGGTCAGCAATACCCTCAAACTACTGATTGTGGGGAAACGTACATAAATATTTGTAAATGAGAATGGTACTGTAGATGAGCGGAGACAGAAGTAAGTTTATGTATAATGCAAGATTTTCAGTTCCTGTTTTTGAGACTTGTGCAATTCAAGAACAGACTTTGCAAAGCACATGAAAGAAAATGTGTGCTGAAAGATCACTGACCTCATTTTGACTGTCTCCACTGAAAGATCCACCATCACAATAACGAACCTTGACCCTGTTCCAATTATAAAAATCTGCAAATGCACATAGCAGTTATAATTTGTGCAAGAATTATGAGAGTAAGTCATGTGAAGAAGTTGTTGAGAGACATGAATGACCAGGATTTTCTTCATTTTTGTTGCTGAGAATGCCTTCAAAAGGTATATGCTTTTCCATATAATGTGAAGAACCATGGCGTGTTTTCTTACTAAAAACACATTTTCTGATTGAATTACACCATCCTCCGCCCTGTTTGAGAAAGAAAGAGAGAGAGCAGGTGCTTAGGAGAAGGCTTGAATCCTGAAGAACAAGACATGATAGGAGAGCAAGTAGCCAAGTACTACTGTTAATTTCTGAGTCATGCTGGATACCTCCAATTGAACGAGCCAACTGTTTGCCCCTGATCCATATCCTCTGTGGATGTGGTATCCTGGTAATGAGCCGTCCAGGCAGACTGCATATTATTCGAATAATTAACAAGAGAGAAAACTGGTGAGGTTGCAAGTCATCATCATTCATATTATCAGTTACGGAGGAGATGAGGTGAGAGTTTAAGAGTAATAAGAAGGTACCAGCTCCCTTTGAAGCAGCCGCATTAACAAGTGTAAGACCCACCATTAACGGTGGTGTGCGGCGAGCATATGCATATGCAAATGCTGCTGCTTTATAAGTGACATTATTATTCCAATCTTGGAGAGGCAGAGGCTGAGAGTGTTCGAATTCAGAACAGTTTACACATTTCCATGTTAAAGAGCACATCATTAACCCATACATAAATCCCAACCACAAGTACAACATCATCATCTTCTTCTTCTTCCTCCTCCTCCTCCTCCTCTCACTGCTTGCATTAACTATTTCTTCTACAGACACACGACTACTTGCTGACACTCTTGCACATATATATGTAGGAGTGTAAGATAAGCCGATCCCAACAACTTTATATCAGAATGAGAAGAAGAAGGAGAGGCAACGTGGTATTTCTTCTTCTTCATACATATATTTAATGGATAAATGGAGCAGACAAGATAACACCAGCACTACTTCTCCAAGCTTTTTACAGCAAAACTACACGATTTTTATATATCATTATCCTTTGACAACGTTCGTTAAATAAAGAAACTTGATACTTGAAAATAAAAGGGGCTAAAAAGCCCCTAAAGGACCACGAATCAATAAAGATAAGAGGTGGGAAAAAAAATTAAAAAATAAAATTGAGAAAACAGAAAAGATAAAAAAAAATTAAATGATAAAAAAAAAGTAATTAAATTAATTAAAATTTTAAAAAAAATCAACTAGTTTAATTCAGTTTTAATTTTATAAATTTGAAATTAAAACAACTAAATCGAACCTAAACTAAAAAAACCAAGTAAAATCGAAAAATCAAGTCAAATTAATTTAAACTAGTTTTGGTTTAAAAAAAAACAAACCAAATCTAAACTAATCGGTTTGAACCAGTTTCAATTTTAAAAAAATTAAATTTAATTATTGTTTTATAAGAACAAAACTAATCTAAAAATAATCATCTGAAAAAGATAATACAAGGTAACCATAAGAGAATTTGGTAGAAGAGAATTCAGTCATTCATGTTGGTGAGAAATCAAGAAAAAAATGAACTCCTGAGTTTTGCTCAATTTACAGGTTGATTTGTTAAATCGATTAGATGAACTTTTATTTAATTAAATATAAAACTCATCTAATCTAATTATCAAATCAACAAGTCATAAAAATCAAATCTGGAATTACCGAGTCACATAATTTACCTTTTAAATCAGATCTTATTTAACAACAATTAAAAAAAACTAATAATCACTACAACTAGATAGATTCACCTACCCTCGATAAAATGTAAAATTTCTTTTTTAACAACGACTAGATAGATTAACCTACAACTATAAAAATCAGATCCTGCTGATTTCGGCATGATAACCCTTTCCTCTATTGTGCCCATCACATGGTACTCGTCATTTGGAAGAATATAAATTTGTTAGCAGGAAAGTAGAACATGACTTGTGCAAGGGTCCATCTCACAAAGTCTTGGACCTTTAATTCAATCGACAAGCCATTGCATTTTGTCCTTGTTTTGATGATAATTAGAGTAGTGTAAATGTATCTTTTCTGGTATGGTATGAAATGAAGAAAGGGATGGAAGGCGAAATGGGAAGGGTCCACACTCACTCGTCTTTTTGTTTTGGCGGTGACCTGAAAGTTCTTCTCCACCGACACCCCCGCTAATCATGAAGACTTGCTGCCAGCCAGCTAGAAGGTTGCAGGGACTCACTTTCTCAGCTTTTCACGACTTATGATGATGATGAAAACATTATAAAAGCCTCATGGTAGGACCACTTCTTTAGATTCTATTTGTTTTTTTTATTTTATTTTATTTAAGAAATCTTATCATTTCCACCCCTCATCATCCATGACCCGCCCACTTTTGCCTCTATCAAATTCAAATACTTGGCTTAATTGATAGATTTTAAGAGGTTAAAAGTTAGGCTGCCCTTAACAAGCCCTGCACCGAGCTTACCAAGTCAGATCTTTCTAAGCATCTCACATGACTCAATGATTGTGTAGTTTCATTTGAAAGACAACACTCGGTCCAAAAAAAGTTTTTATAAATGACAAATTCTATAGCAAACTTCAAGAGATTCCAGGCGTTAACATAAAATATATATATGTTAATTTAGATATTCAAGAGTTCCCGACACTCCCACATGAGATTTGTTTCTTTCTTGATTCTGTCGATAATATACAAATCAACAAACTGTTAGTATAAATATCAACAGAAATTTTTATAATTAAATTATCGAATCTGATTATCGAAGTAGGGTTTAGTCCACCATCTTTTACAAAAACAAGTCGTGGTTATATAGAAAAGAATGGTGTTGTGCATCTGCTTCAAACTTTACTTGATGATTCATGGGTATGCATTTGGCATAAGCAGAAAGTTGATGAAAACAAGAGAACCCAGTAGTCGGATTCGGGTTTGAAACCCTAAGTTCAATCAATTAAAATAGTGAGATGGGTTAAGCCACCACAATCCAGAACCAAAATTTGAGATAATGGGTCCCCCAAGGCTCAATTCCAAGTCCAATGACAAGCAGGCTAGGCTCGAGACAGTAGGTCCCATCAAGGACCCTGCCCGGGCCCACACCTGGAGGAGGTCCTAGGGTTCGGGCTTATTTGAACCATGTCCATCAACGACCTTAAATATGAATCTCGAATACCTCCAAATTTCACGCAGGCAGTGCCAATTTCCTCTCTTCCATGCAACCGACCGTCGCACACCACCGCGTCTCAAATCTTTCAGAAAACCCCACCAATACAAGTTATAACCAAACTGACTGCAGGCAGCAAGTTTTGGATTGGACAAAACTCATTGTCACAAGGGCTGTGTTTGCAGTATTTCTATCTATTATTTTTGAAGGTTGATTAAAATCACTAAATTCTAGCTTTTCAATCTAAGTAATAATTGCCATATCAGAATACACTGGCTCCTTTCAGAAGGGTTCGTGGAATATATAGCTTCAGAGATTACTTCTCCCCAAGTTTAAGTCACAATGTGGCTAGGAACATTGAGAAAAGCGTTTGTATTCCAATAGGCATAAACAAACAAAGAGAAACAGTGAAGCAGACTTGAGCCATATTTCTCCTGTCTTTTCCTGTTCTCAATCTTGCAAATGGATTGTTAAGGCATCATACCGTCTTCATTAAACTAATCCTGGAATTAAAAAGCAAGCCAACCGGACGAGGAATCTTCCATTAAACTAATCCTACCTTGTGTCATCTTCGAGTGGAATAGAATTAAAAGGTAAGCCAAACATGGTGTCAACGGATGTCCAATGACTGACTGATGCGCCTGGTTGAAAGGACACTGCCATTACACGCCTCCCACCTTTGTATTAGCCGTGACTGCATTGGCCATAACAAGTGCATTCTTCACGTCCAACTGAAGCATACAAGAGGGTACATTAGCCACAAGAGAATTCTAATCAAAGAGAACTCTACGCAGTTTATTGAGAAAAACTATAATTACAGGATTGTAAAAATTCAATGACGTCATAATATAGGCTTCGCCGAGAGATGGTGAACACCGAAGTAACAAAGGGCTCCTTTACCTCGATGGAGAACAACTTTCCTCTTCCAGGGATGCACATCCTAGAATAGAGCCACATGCTGGTCCACACATTGGCCTGGTTTCCTTCCATTTTAAAGGCCTAGCTACTGGATTGCAAACCCTCACCAAATCTAATCTCACGATGTCAAACCTTCCAGCTCCTGCTTCTTCCCACTTGAGAACCTTTCCACCCAATATATACAGTTCATCTCTAAGGGAAGCAAAACCATAACTAAAGGCCTCCAAAGCCCTCGTGTGGTTGGTTAGAATGACTGAAGGTACTGAACCCACAGTGTACCACTCTCCTCCCTCAGAGTCCCTTGTTTTAATCAAGCTCTCACCCCAATCAACAACTGTGTATACTCTTCCATCACACATGACTTGAACTGCAAATTGCATTGCCCTGGAGAAAGGCCAAATGTCCTCCATTGTGCACCATGTGTTAATTGATGGATTGAAAACTTGAGTTATGTTTGTCTCTGACAGGCCAACCTGGTCACTCAAAACATGAAATTTGCCTTTATATGATAATCCTAAGCAGTCCATCAGTGGTGCCGGCATTGGCGGCAATTCCTCCCATCTGCAATTTCTGCTATGTCATAACCAGCAACAAATTGCACTAGAAAAAAGATTAATTTGAACAAGATCTTAATTCCATTAGCCCTTAAATGAGGTACTGTGGACTAAGTATTGTTCATTGGAATTAACGCAATCACAAACAACCACACCCCCCCAGGGTGACAGCCATTTAACATAGATGTTTCTGTGCATGTACATGCATAATACTCCAAAGAAAATATCCATATTGACTTAATGAAGATGCATGATTGATTGGGGAATGTCATTATAAACCGAAGCAGTAAACTGTAATGGTGATGGATTTAACGAAAAAAAGAAGATATAATCAAATTTTCAGCTAACAAATTTGCAAACTTTGACAATAGAAACGTTCCAGGCAAGACTGGAGAAAATGATGGAAAGAAAAAGGAGGACCATGACAGCTTAGATAATTAACCAAAAAACAGATCATCTTTTGGTAATTAATCATGCACTCAAATCATAAAGCATGCAAAAGCCTGGTGTTTAATAAGAAGCAACCAGTAGTCACTAAACAATTATCATGGGTGTTAGACAACATCACAAATGAATATTGCAGTTGTGCAAATGAACATACTTGTCTGTTAAAGGATCGTAAACCTCTGCCAGCGCAAGCCCCTTGGTGCAAGATAAGTTGCGCCCACCAGCAACATAAACCTTCCCAGAGATAACACTGCACGCAAAGTGAGAACGTGGTGTTCGCATTCTTGCCACATTAGTCCACTGTTTCTTAAATGGATCAAACTGGAGAACATTATCTGTTATTAAAGGTCTTTGAATTAGAACCGACGAATCCAGTGGTGCATAGGAGCCCCCAATGACTAAGAGTCGATTATAAACACAAACGCAGGAAAATCCAAAATGCTGACGGTCAGCACAATCCCCAGAAACCTTTGGCAAGGGATGCCACCTGTCAGCTTCAGGATCGAAGGCAACCCATTGGTTGTTAGACTGCTCAGTAAGAACAAACAGCCAATCACCACAGCATCCTTGTTTCGCTCTATAGCGGGCATAATCAGCGCTGCGAATCATATCCCTCCATCTCTTGGAGACAGATTCAAGAAGTCCATGGTATCCATGAGATACCTTTGACAGACACCGCAAGGCCAGGTCATCCGGCAAACCAGGTATGATGGGTTGATGCATAGATTCCTAAAAAATCAATAGATGGGTTCAAAAATCAAACAAATCCCACCAAACTCTTGATATTGTTTTTGCTTTTATGTTATAAGAAAAATCAAATTTCACATCATATCCTATTATGCCCAGCTAGCCCAGCTGAATTCTTATAATATTGATACTAAACCATAATCATGATAACTAAATTTCGAGAAAGAAAACAAGAAATGAGAAAACATAAACGAAATTACCTTCGTTGACGGGAAGATTTGCCTTTTGAGCTCTCCTTTCTTCTCTTCTCCTCTCCTCTCTCCTAGGGGTTGGATTTTCTCAAAGTCTATCCGTGATTTATATTTTTATCTTCTTCTACGTCATTGTATTATTATACTCTAGACTTTCAAGATTTGTTGACTTTTACTATTCACCTACTATCAAAGACTGTCCGAGATGAGAGAGAGCCCTCGAGACAGAAAACTTTTGGCGACCACATTTTCATCATAAAATAAAAAAATCGATATTAATATTAATGCAATCATCTTGAAAAGGGTAATTTAATTATGATAATTTTACCCTTTAAACATGCCATAAAAGTTATATCAGGGTTTCTAAATTTTTTATTCAGTTTGATTATTGACTCTTGAGGTGATTAGAACGTGTTTTAGGATTATAAATAAAATTGTTGAAGTTTTTAGCATGTTTTTGAGGTGATTACCATTGTTTTACACGTCTTTTTACCATTCTAGTATTTTAACATGAGTCAGTTTTATTCTGAAAAAATAATTAATTCTAGAGAAATAAAAGTTCATTGGACTTGGTAGTTTTTGCATTTTCTTCTTGCCTCTCTTGGGATGAAGAGGGAAGGAAGATGATCAACAGAGAGAAATGGGATCAAACAAGCTTTGAAGAGCAATAGAAAATAAAATAAAATCATGTACGCATGCCTCTAGTCAAATCCACTGAATTTGCAAATTTCTCCAGTAGCTGGAAGTTAGGTTCGATTTCCTGAACAGAAAAACTCTTTTTCTCATGTAAAATATTTAAGAAATTCTTTATAAATCTCAGCGAACGACGTATCTAACTTTAAAATAATTTAATTGATCAAAAATTCAAAAATCATCTAGAACAAAAAGCAAAAGCATGAATCATTTATTTATTTATTTAGCAAGATGAGGGGTAAAAATATTTTAATTAAATTTTTCTCATCAAATAAAATTTATTAATATCAAGATTTTTTTTTAATTGTCTAAATATAAACAGCTAACAACTTTCTTTTTCTTTCCTTATTTTTTAGTAATTATCTTGTCTCATGAATCAAGGGATTAAAATATAAAATAAATAAAATGTAGATTAAAACCTCAATAAATAGGGATCAAAAATTTTTAAAAAAAATGAAAAACTTTGGGGATCAAGATTTTAAAATCCACACTTCATGAACAATAAAAAAATTAATATTAAATTTAATCCTCATACTTTTAATTTATTTTAAATAATAAAATTAAATTTTATATCTTTCAAATTTAGCATTAACTTAATGTCCAAGAGTTTTTTATCACTGCAATAACTCCATAGCAAGTTAATAAAAAATGATAATATTAATCAATGCAATATAAAATTATGATATTAAAAAAAATATTTGTGATTGCAATAAAAAATAATACAAGGATATAAAAAAAAACACTGTAAAAATTCATTCTAGTGAATTGCATTAATGAGTTTCACAATTCAATTGTATCTTGGTTTATAGTGTTTCCTAAACAGATTTATTTAAAAAAATTCAATGAATGATTATATATGCTTAGTTTTTATAAGGAAAAAAAATACACTTGTGAATTCATTATGATTAAGTTAATTAGAAATGTAAAGAGCTATTTAGTTAAACAAAAAATAATAATTTAGTTTTCATTTTATAAATAATAATTTAGATTTTATCAATTTTTAAAATAATTTATATTTTTCACTTATATTTTTTTTAATGAACTTTACTTTTTATTTTATTTTTCTTTTCATATATATTCTACCATACATAATGATTTTCATTTTTAAATATAAATGATATATGTGACGTTGTTTAGAAAGTAAAAAATCAAATTATTTTATAAATTAACTATTTTAATCAAATTTTAAATATTAAAGAATTGAAAAAAAATCTTACAATTATACAATATACTAAAAAGCTCAATGCCCCTCTTAGTATTTTTCAAGGATTAAATTAGAGCAGTGTAATGATAAAATTATCCATGCCAAAAAAACTTAATAGACATGGAGTGAGGGTGGAGTTGTCTTTTTCATAAGATACATGTAGCATTAAAAGAATAAAGGATGATAAAATGGTTCATTTGGATTTGGCTGAGATATGGTAAGGTTACAGGTTTCAGGTGCTAGGGCATGACATGACTGTCAGATACCTGATGACGAGGCCAGGCATAGTTTCCATGCCTTAAGCATTAAGGCCAAACTCGTGCGCCTAGCTACAGACCCACATCAGGATTATTATTACTGTGGCAGAAAAATTATAAATTTGATTTGAATGATAAAATTAAAAATTATAAGAACTTGGGTCAGATATGTTTAATATTATTATTAATATAATTATTAAAAAATATTATTACTATTGAAAAAAACCATAGATTTAATTTGAAGGGTAAAATTAAAAATTATTAGTATTATTCTTATTGTTAATATCAGTATTATTATTATTATTATTATTATTAAATTTGAAAGAAAAATATTATTATTAATGAAGAAAAACCATAAGTTTGATTTGAAGGGTAAAAATTATTATTATTATAATTAATAAATTTGAAATAAAATATTATTATTTTTGAAGAAAAACTATAAATTTTATCTGAAGGGTAAAAATTAAAATTATAGTATTATTCTTGTTATTGTTGTTGTTATTGAGGTTATTGTTATTATTATTATTATTAAATTTAAAATAAAATATTATTACTATTGAAAAAACCTATAAATTTGATTTGAAGAGATTAAAAACTATAAGAGCCCGAGTCAGACAAGTTTAACATCATCATCATCATTATTATTATTATTTTATTATTATTATTATTATTACTACTACTACTACTATTATTATTAAGTTTTTTTTTTAATATTATTATCTTAGAAGAAAAATTATAAATTTTATTTGAAGAGATTAAAAACTATAAAAACTTAAGACAAACAAATTTAATATTATTATAAATATTATTAAATCTATTAATATTATTAAATTTGAAATAAATATTATTACTATAAAAACAATATAAATTTGATTTGAAAGGTAAAATTAATTATTATTGTTGTTGTTATTGTTGTTAACAACTTGGGTTTAACCTCCTCTTCTAGGTCTAAGAAACTTGAGGCTGGAAAGGAGCATTTGACTCAAGTTGTTTGGGTTTGATAGGGGTGCAAATATAAGTCCTTTGAGTCTTGCAGCCCCACCTGACCCAAAACTCTAGGGTCCGAAGTTCAGACCTAGGGCTCTTGGGACTAGTGTGAGGACCCAAATCTCTAGGGTCCTGCATCAAGACTAAGGCTCTTGAATTTGACATCCGGACCTATGACACTTGAATTAGGTGTTTAGACCCAAGGCTAATGGGCCAACATCCAGACCCAAGGCTGATAGGTCCGATGTTTGATTGATACTTAAAGGTGCATTTCAATCAAGGTTTTATATCATCATTTTTCACTTGAAGTATCAATAACTCCTTCACTAAAACATGTTTTATAATAACATATCTAATACTATAAGATACCTTTAATTTATGGTATATGTTTATTTTAAATGCAGGTCTATCACATAAATAAAAGGATTGATTGATGAGTTTAAAAACTGAAATTGAAAGGATAAAGAGATGGTCAAACTTAGAAAAGAGATGTCAGTGCAATCTAAACTGGAATACTGTTCGATAATTTGGTCATATCTAGAGTTGTAAATCTCGGATTTAGGTTTACTTTATATGGATGAAAAGGTAAGACATAGGCCTACAACTTTCATAGGAGCCCAAGATTTAATAAGGCCATTTTTAAGTCCAAATTATAGCAACAATGAAAAAGTCCAAATCTGTTCTGTAGCCCAAACCCTGTTCAGTGTTTGGCCTATATCTAGAGTTCTAGAAGTCCAAATGACCTCCATTGTGTTTTTTCTGAAAAGCTGAGACAATTTTCTATAACTTTCATATTTTTAAATGGTTCCAATTCTAACGTTATCAATGATGTTTTGAGCAGACAAGAGAAGATAATGATTGTCACAAAGTCAAGAGTTGGTCACCCACTTATCAATTAGTCATCAAATCAATAGTTTTCAATTTTGGCCTATAAAAGAAAGCATTTGCCATGCATTTAAGCATCTTGGTTTCCAGATCAAGATCATGCTCTTGCTTTCTCTCTTTGTATTTTTTGTAATGTTTATGCTTTTCTTTCATTAATATCAAGGTTATGCTTTTCATTTTCTTAGTTAACTTTTATTTTATTTATGTTCTTATTTTATTTATTTATTTTTCTTTTTTGCATTATGTTTAGTTAAGTTTATTATGTCAAGGTGAAAAGGTTAGACTAATGGTGTAATAATAAGTATAGTGTAAACTTAACATGGATTTTAATGTTTGATACTAACATGTTTTCTACTTATTATCTTGTTTACTCTTTAATACTTTGCTTGTTAAATGACTAATCTAGATTTATGTTGTATAACACTTAGTACAACAAATGATTGGCACTTTCATAGCTCATACTGTATGGTATAACCGACACCTGAGTTATGAAAGGAACATAATTTGTTGTTAACATAAGTTATAATCATGAATGCTTGACGAGATTTACAAGTATTAGCATTAATTGAATAAGATGAATAATGTAATCCGAATAAGATAACTAATGTAATCATGTTAACAATTTATAATCTGATTGGAACCTTCTTTGTGTGTGATTTCCAATTTAATAATATAAGTTTATACTATACTTGTTTGACATACCATTAGTGGATTCTCTAACCTTGACATTTATTGTTATCATTGTTTAATCCTTACGTTAATCTTCCATCTCAAAGTTCTCAACTTTTTCTTCTTATTCTTTTTCTTATTCTATTATTACTATTACTATTACTATTACTATTAATATTAATATTAATATTATTATTATCAGTATTCTTATTACTATTAATATTAGTATTACTACTATTATTGTTGTTATTATTGTTGTTGTTGTTGTTATTTATAATTTATACAATTAATCTTCTTGTGGTTCGACCCTGATTTTGCCACGTTATTTATTACTTCGACACTCCTGTACTTGGGAGAAGACATCAATCTTTTGGTCGTGTCAAGTTTTTTTACGCCGTTGCCGAGGAGGTAAGTTCTTGTACAAATTATAATATTTATTTTATTTTTTCTTTTCACTTTTCTTGTATATAACTTTGTTTCTTTTGTTTTGTTTTTCCTTCTTTTGTTTTCTTTTTTTTTATTCTATTCCTACACATGCATGA